AGGCCGCGAAGACGAGAAAGAGAGAGGGGGTGACCGCGACGAGCAGAGAGAGAGAGGGAGATGTGCAGCGACGATATATATATATATATATATATATATATATATATATATATATATATATATATATATATATACATCGTCACAAACAGAATTGCTCGGTGAACTGTAGGCAGAGAGAGAGAAGAGGACAACAAACGAGGGGCTGTGACAAACTGTTTCGTCGGAGTTTCACTGACTCGTCAGGAGGCTGAACCCTCAACAGTCTGCAAAATCCCCTCACTGATTACACTGTAAATGATAATTTACCTTAACCAAAATCAAAGTAGACTATCAAGCACCCACACTAGATGAAAAACTCTCTCTCTTTCTGTATATATATATATATATAGAGAGAGAGAGAGAGAGAGCTGCCGCCAGAGAGAGATGTGCCCCGAGAAAGAAAGAGAGTGAGAGAGAGAGAGAGAGGGGGGGGGAGAGAGAGAGAGAGGGCTGCCGCGAGAGAGAGAGGGAGTGAGGAGCGTCACAGGGAGCGTGGAGCAGGAGCCGGAGCGGCGACGAAGTTGGAGCATCAGCGGAGCGCGTTCGACGACGACGGTGAATCGGCATGCGAGGCGCCGAATAACGCCGTTGAAATTTTAGTTCAACGAATTTCAACGACATTAAATGTGATTAAATGTGATTCAACGCAATTGAATGACGTTTAACGCAATTAAACGTGTCGGGCCGGTAGCTGTCTGACGGGGTTCATTGGCGTTCACGCGGGTCTGGGCGGTGCGAGGAGACATTGGAAAGGGGTTGACGGGGGAAGGTGGGGTGGGGGGGGGGGGGGGGGGGGGGGGGGGGGGGGGGGGGGGGGGGGGGGGGGGGGGGGGGGGGGGGGGGGGGGGGCCCTTCGGCGGACAACGGTCAATGGGGGTTGGGTTGCAAAGTGGGTTCGCGGCGAGTCAACGACGGTTGTCTCGCGAGGGCACAACGCCGCCAGCATGAGCCTGCCCCGGACCATGTGCATGACATATTCAAGGCCCACTCTGATGTGTATCGGTACCTGGTTGTTGGCCAAAAGGTCGACAACAAGGAGGTGATGATGCTTCTTTGCACGTTTTGCAATAAAGTTTTCCAAGGGACTCAGTTTCAGGCCACGAGGCACTTCGTCCAGACGAACTATTGCAAGGACGTCAACGACGAAGCGTTGTACGAGATCGCGCGACGGACTCCACAAAAGTTCGAGTCCGATCAGATGGAGAGGGTTGCGAGGTATGCAGCGGAGCGCGGACTCGATGTGCCCGACACGGGCGCTGGAAGGGGAGGAGAGGCGGGGCGGCATCTGGTGGAGGGAGGGGTCAGGGGAGATGGTGGGCATGATGCGCCCGACCACCCATTGGGGGGTGGAGGCGGTGACACGGGGGAGAGGATGGAGAACTGGCTGAGGCGAGCAGGCAAGGGATTTGCAACGGATGGTTCTTCAAAGAGGAAGGAAGGAGAAACTGATTCAGCTGTCACCCCAGCTGGAAAGAAGCTTCGACAACCGAAGGTGGCTGAGGTCTCCGGTGGCGAGTGGGTTGCTCGCCACAAGAAGGTCTGCCTTCACTGGCTCTATTCCTGTCTCTTATACACATCTAGATGTGTATAAGAGACAGGGAGAGGATGGAGAACTGGCTGAGGCGAGCAGGCAAGGGATTTGCAACGGATGGTTCTTCAAAGAGGAAGGAAGGAGAAACTGATTCAGCTGTCACCCCAGCTGGAAAGAAGCTTCGACAACCGAAGGTGGCTGAGGTCTCCGGTGGCGAGTGGGTTGCTCGCCACAAGAAGGTCTGCCTTCACTGGCTCTATTCCAGCGGGGTCTCCTTCAACGTCTTTCGCAACCAGGCATGGAAGGCATATCAACAGGTGCTTCTTGGGCAGCCTGGCGGTTCCCCGCGCGGAATGCTTCCCAACCACAACGAGATTGCGAGTATACGGGCGATGGAGACCCACCGTGCCGAGTTGGCGGAGGAGTTGGAGGAGGTGAGGCAACCATTCTGGGTGACTGGTGCCACGCTCCTTTCCGAGGGGAGGAAATCACGAGACGGGAGACCGATCATGAATTTTCTTGCCGCTGGCTCGCGAGGGTCGTCATGTACATGACGATCAATCGAGAGGGCGAGCCGGACGATGCAGAGCACGTCCTTCGGAGATGGGTTACCATCTTACACGAGTTCAGGTTTGGTGGGGTGCAGCGGGTCAATGCGATATGCACTGACTCTGCTTCTGCGTACGTGGGGGCTGCAAGGGCAATGGCCTCGCCGACCATGCCTCTTCCACTGAGGAGGATGACTTGGCTCCCGGGCTCCGTCCTTGTCTGCAATAAATTATTGTCAGATATGGGGATGAGTTGCGACGCGTTTGTGGACATGATCACACACGCTCGTGTGCTGGTGGTGTTTTTTAAAACCCACCAGGCCGCCCTTCATTTTTTTAGGAGGCGCAACCCCGACAAGGGGCTTATTCTTTCTTGCGAGACGCGGTTTGCGTCTGTTTATTCCATGGTGGAGAGGCTGTTGTCCCTGCATGACACTTTGCAGGACATGATGCGAGGGGACGACGCACGGGTTTTTGCTTCCATCCCGTGGTCCGCTGATGTGTGCATCATGGCGCGTTGGGTGCGCCGACAGATCAGACGGGATCCTTGGTGGCGGAGGGTGGCCACCAGCGTCCATATCATGGAGTCCGTCATGTAGTTGCTCAGACGGATGGATCGTGAAGGACAATACATGTCGCTCATGATCGAGTGGACACAGGATCTTGTCCAGCGTGTGACGGATGCATGCGCTCCTTTGGCGCAGTCCTTCGCTGACCGGATCATCAGACGTGTGCAGGCTCGCACACAGCACATGCTTGAGCCGGCTCACTGCGCAGGGTTCTTACTGAACCCCCTCAGGCGACATGTTCGTTACTTTTCACGCGAGGTGGACCGGTACCATGCTTGGCTTGTGGGGCAAGCCAGAGGTACATTCAGACGCAGACGAGTTTCGAGTTGGAGGGTGCGGATTACATCCTCGCATGTCAGCAGTTTGAGGACTTCCATATGCAGCAGGGCACGCTTTGTGATTGGGGCGGGGCGGAGGGGCGTGCTCGTGTACGCGCGTGCAGTGGCGACAGCGAGACAATTGAGTGCGCGTCTTGGTGGTCTCAATTCGGGGCTGGCGCGCCAGAGTTGCAGCGGTGTGCTCTTCGGGTGATGCACATGTGGTCTTGCGCCTCTCCAGCGGAGAGGAACTGGGCAGTCCACGAGGGCATCCACACGAAGAAGCGCAACCAGTCGGCCTTCGAGAAGGTCGTGCAACTCGTTGAGATCACCTGAAATGTGCGGTTGACGGAATATCGGCGGGCTGGATGCGGTTATGTGCCGCCATGGCAGCGAAACGAGGGCATGCTGGATTGCCAGGCAGGACTCGAGGTGGAGCCTGTGCGCATGAGCACGCGCAGGGGGATGACGGAGGAGGAGATTGCCCGTCAGGTTGCGCTTATTACCCGGGATCCCATCGGGGCTTCCGCACCGCCCTCTGCTGATGCCGTATTCGGTAGACGTGCTTGCATTTTTCGTCCCTACCCAAAGGAGGATAACTCAGATGAGGAGCCGGTACCCGAGGTGGTATATGACCCTGCGCTCCGTATTTCCCGTGAGATTGACGAGACGTACGACGATCCCGACGACGAGGAGACGAGGGCACACACAACACGACGAGCGGCGGGCCGGGCGGACAGGGAGATACTGGGGGGCGAGGAGGAGTTTTGGGACCCTTTCGGGGAGGTCGCTTCCACGGGCAATGTGTGCGCTGACAGAGGTAGGGGTTTGTATGCAGGCACGCGCGGCAAAGAGGCGCGGGTGATGACCCCCACTCCGACGAGGCGAGAGTCGTCCATGCCGCCACCTTCTACTCCGAGTCCTGCACCACCATCGCCTGTCTCGCCACTTCAGCCGGCCACGGCAGCGGCGGACACGGAGGAGTTGGCGTCCTCCTTGCCTCAGCACGGACTTCTCCAAAGAGGCGGGGCAGTCCGCCAACGGAGGTTACGATCGCCTTCCCCAGGGATCTTGCAAGAGGAGGGGCCACCGTCGGCAGCACCAGTGGAGGGGAAGATGATAGCAGCGGCGGTGGCGGACGCGACGGTCACAGCCACGGTGGACGAGATAGCAGCAGCAGCAGCAGCAGTGTTGGCGGAGGTGGCAGCAGCAGTGGTGGAGGAGGAGGCACCAGCGGCGACAGTGGAGGGGATAGCAGCAGGCGTCATAGAGGAGATATCAGCATCAGGAGGAGCAGCAGCAGGAGGAGCAGCAGCAGGAGGAGCAGCAGCAGTGGAGGGGGAGGTGGCAGCAACAGTCACTGTGGAGGAGGAGGAGGCACCGTCATTAGCTGCAGTGGAGGGGGATGTGGCAGGACTAGTGAAGGAGGAGATAGCCGCAGCGGCGGAGGTACCGCATGGGGGCACTGACGAGTGCCTCATGCAGCACTTCCTCACGGAGGAGCTCGATCCAGTCATAGCGGGTATGACCCCGGGTGTGGCGAGGGGGTTGGGGATATCATATTCGGAGATGGGGACCCACATCGACTTTGATTTGTCGATGGGCCTGCCACCTAGTTGCGGCGGGGCGACATCGACGGATCGGGCTCCATCGAGGTACGAGGTGGCAGGCGAGACTTTGACACATACCCCGAGAGAGAGGACGACGACTGAGTCTCCAGATGCAGCACGCGACATCATGGAGCGAGAGAGGGCTCGGTTGATGGCATCCAGCGACCCACGTGCGCAGGCGTTTGCACGGGGCTTAGAGGAGCGCAGGAGTCGAGAGACGGGGAGAGATGGTGGGCTGGGTGGGGTAGTGGTGGGGGAGGATGCTAGGGAGGTTGTGGCAGCAGAGGCGGAGGAGGGTATGGATGGTGGGCGACAGGCAGTGCATGAGGCCACGGAGGGTGGACAGGAGGGGGACGATGGGCCTAGAGACGCATGGGCGGGAGGTCATAAGACACAGACGGGTCCAGCAGTCCCGTTCTCGGGCCTGCACTTGGTCGAGGCCCGACGGTCGCAGCCGCCTGACGTGGCATTTCACATAGTGCCGCCTGTTGTCATCGAGGAATTAGGGTCCGAGCCGATGGTTGAGCGTCCACGTCCTCGACGACCGGCTCCGCAGGAGGTGGATCATCCATTGGATGCAGAGGAGTTGGCAGCGGCCCCTGTGCGCGATGTGACTCGACTGGACCGAGGGGTATTAAACCCGAAACTAAAACAGCCCAATTGGCAAAGGATTCCTTCGGTTCCATGGGCCCCTGCATCGCCGGTGAAGTCCGGGTCTACCACCAGCGGAAGGCCGAGTACGGTAGTGGCAGGGGTTTCGGGGGGCGTGTAGAAGAGAGTGCCAGGTACAGGAGACATGCCACCCCCTCCTCCTAGACCACGTCAGGGTGATCCATCGTCGTTGCCCACAGCCCGAGGCTCTTCATCTCCACACACGCCTGGGAGATCGTGGATTCGTGATACGACAATGGTTGGGCGCAATGTGGGCGACACGGCATTGTACGAGAGGACGAACATAGATTTGGATTCCACTCGCCGTGTCATTGAGCACACTGCTCGCCTTCAACCGGGGTTGGGTCACCGCGGCGCCAGGACGCTAGCAGCGAGGGAGGTAGCAGCAGCAGGTTGTGAGCCTCAATGAGGTCGAGGCAGAGAACTGTCCAGCTCGACCTTGGAGCAGGCTTTGAGAGCAGCGACACGTGCTGTGCATGAGCAGACTCCACGCAAGCGTTGAGCGACTCCTCGTCCACGCCCGGTGCCTGAACAGGGAGGCACTGCACTAGGAGAGTCTTCAGAGGGGAGAGGTTGGGGATGCCTCGCAGATCCCGCCGGCTGTAGACGGTCGCAGAGGCTAATGCGAGGGTCGTTGTGTTGAGGAAGGGAGGCGACCCTGTCACCATGGAGGAGAATGATCCTGAGACGGGACCGCCCAGACCGACAGTGCAAGAGGACGATGAGGACTATGAGGGTGAGGAGGAGGGTGAGGAGGAGGAGAGTGAGTCCCGCGACAGTGGTGCCGACGACGGCAACGAGGATGAGTCCCCACCCCCCCCACCGACGCGTGCTTTGAGACGTTCTTCTGCGCCGACATCGCCATCTGCAGGACAGAGGGGGAGGTCGACATCCGACACTCAGGGGGGTACGAGGAGTCGAAGGAGGCGTAGCGGGAAGGGGAAGATGGGTTGATGACCATGAGGCCAACAATTCGCTTTCCCTTACTTTCACGCGACTTCGGCGCAGTCTCTGCTCTAGTTTTTTCAGTCGTGATGTCTTATGTCATTGTTGTCGGGTAGTCAATGGTAGTCAGGTAGTTTGCGTGTTGTAGTTGTAGTTGTTTTCTTGCTTTTTAGTGTGTCCGATACTACTACGATTCCGTATGAGCAGGGCATCTGTACAATAGCGTTCGTTGTAGCAGAGTGGGTTGGCACCGCCGACACGACTTGTGCAGTACTGTTTTTTTATTAGTCAGTATGTGGCACTAGTAGGATTCATTATATTATGTTACATTTTTCATGTGTGATTTCAGTGACTAGCACTTCACCGGTTTTCATGTCCATGTTCAGTATATGATTTCAGTTTCGAGTGTTGCACAAGGTTTCGTGTCCATTTTTGTCATCGTGTGAATTTATATGTCTAAATGTTGTTTACGTTTTTAATTTTATTTATTTCATTTGTTTCAAATTGTTTGTTTATTTAATTTGCCTGCAGAGTTGGGTGATTGACACTGATTGCTCTCTTTTTATTTCTTTGTAAATTGTTCAATGTATGCATAGTAGCATACATACTACACGCATACCTCTTCAATGTCAAACAGACTGAAACATAGGCAAGTGTGAAACTTCACACTTGCCTGTGTTTGACAAAGAAGGGGTACTCCTGGACACGGGGGTGATTTGGGGTGTGGTG